CCACAACCGCGCCTATTGAAACGAATAAAATTGCAATAGTATTCTGGTGAAAAGACTAAAGCAAAGTTGGAAGAACAAAGTTTTAGATTTCTATTGACTTCTTGGATGATTAAAAATAACATGGGGATGGGGCCTTTATATAGGCACAAAATTATATCTAAGCCTAATCTACATAGGGAAATAATAAAGCAATAAAATATTAGGAATCCTAAACAAGCTAGAAATCATAATGAAATAAGGGAACTAAATATCTTGGCTTGCACACCAAGTCCTCCAACCGCCTCTCTCTCTCTCCTACGCGTGCGCAAGTCGGCCACCGCCTCTCGCCTTGCCCTAGTCCTCGAGGACTAGGGTGCCGCCTCCTTCGCGCGTGCATGCCCGGATGCCGTGTCGCGCGCGCCTTCGCTGCCAACCGCCTCATCATGCGTGTGGTGCCCCACCAGTCCGCATTCCTCGAGGCATGCGGCATCCAGCTCCGCGCGTGCCTGTTCGTCATGCGCGCTCCGCGCGCCCCGCTCGTTCATCCCTGCTGCGCGCGCGTCTCCGCCAATCGCCCGCGTCCCGTCAGCGCTTGCGCCCATCGCGCTTCACGCGTACGCTCGTACTTGTCGCGCGCTGGCCATCTTCGCTTGTCCTGCGCGCACTTCTGCTGCTTCCCGTGCTAACCTCTTACGTGCGTGGTAGGCACGACTCGCGGCGTTCTTGAGTTGCCTAGCCACTTCCGCATCATTCCCGTCCCCTTCAAGTGCTTCCTTGTCCTGAAGGATGAAATTCGGGAATTGATCACGCATTTCGTCAAGATCCTCCCATGTGGCATCTTCGGATGGCAACTCTTTTCAGTCAACTAGTACTTCCCAACGATAGCGCCCTGCTCTCTTTACCTTACGGTACTCAATCGCTCGTTTTGGTCGTACTATGACCCTACCATCGGTTGCGGTTGCAGGTAACTCCTCACAATACTTCTGCGCTTCTCCTAGACTCCTCTTGAGTTGTGAGACATGGATAACTGGGTGAATTTGTGAACTTTCTGGTAACTCTAGACGGTAAGCTACCTGACCAATGCGCTTTAGAATCTAATAAGGCCCATAATAGCGAACGCCCAGTTTAGTTGCGGCCCTTTGTGTTGTGGTGCGCTGTCTGAATGGTCGTAGCTTCAGGTAGACATACTCGCCTCGTGCAAAATTTTCCTCACGCCTTTTTCCATCTGCGAAGGCTTTGGTTCGATTAATTGAGCCTTCGAGATTTTTCTTCAATTCTCGCAACATCAAATCTCGTTCCTCTAGTTCTCGACCAACCTCGTCATTGACTGTACTCCCCTCCGAATAATTGATCAGTGTTGGGGGTTTTCGCCCGTATACCAACTCAAATGGCGTCATCTTGGTCGACTCGTGGTAAGTGGTGTTGTACCAATACTTAGCCCAAGGCAAAAAGTTTCCCCATCGCTTCGGGAATTGATGGACGTAGCACCTCAAATACTTCTCAAGGGTTCGGTTGGTTACCTCCGTTTGTCCGTCTGTCTGTGGGTGGTAGGCTGAGCTCATAGATAACTTAGTCCCTTGCAACTTGAAGAATTCAGACCAAAAGCTGCTCATAAAAATCCGGTCTCGATCAGAGACGATGGATCGTGGTGCTCCATGCAATTTCATCACATATTCCACAAGTAGCCTGGCAATTGACCTCGCGGTGTAAGGATGGGTAATGGGTATGAAGTGAGCATACTTCGTGAGACGATCCACTACAACCATAACACCGTCAAACCCATTAGAACTCAGTAACCCCTCTATAAAATCCATAGTAATGTCTTCCCAGATTGCCTCGGGTACCGGTAGAGGTTGTAACAGCCCGCTCGGTCGTCGTGAGTCAGACTTAGTGCGCTGACAATCGTCGCACCGTGCTATGTAATCTCGGACGGTATTCTGTTGTCCGGGCCAGAAGAAAGTGTTGGCTATTCTCATCCACGTGCGATAGATACCCGAGTGGCCTCCAATTTTAGAGTCGTGGAAGTTCTGCATGATCTGCTCACGTAACTGCCCACTGTCGGGAACAAATACTCGGCCTCGGTGTAGGAGCAGACCATTATGCAACTCGTAGTCGATAGCAGTTGTCTTACCTGCTTCTATCGACTGGCGCAACTCCTGGCGATAGGTGTCCTCTACTTGCGCCTTCCTAATTTCCTCCCAAATAGTCCAAGCTGGCCCAGTGATAGCATTCAGCTCGGCTACATCCGTTCATCGGGATAGTGCGTCAGCTACTGCATTCTGTCGACCCGGTCGATAGATTATCTCGAAGTCAAACCCCATAAGTTTAGATACGAACTTCTGCTGCTCGGGGGTAACAATTCTTTGCTCCAGTAGATGCTTAAGCGGTTGCTGGTCGGTCACAATCTGAAAACGTCGGCCCAATAGATAAGGCCTCCAGTACCTTACAGCCTCGACAACTGCTAGCATCTCTTTCACGCACACCGATAGACCCAATCGTGTAGTGCCTTGTGCCTTGCTGAGATAAGCTAAGGGTCGCCC